TTCCCCCCTGCCCCCCCCCCTGCTTTTTTTTTTTTTTTTTTTTTTAAATATAATCAGTTTTATCCTGAAGTTCCCTGTACCAAAGCCATTGGAGCACTGCTAATCTTACAATCCCCCAAACCATTTAATTAAATGGTCAATTAAATTTAACAGATTTAATGTACTTGTACTTTGAGTATTTCCATGTTATGCTACTTTTGGCTTTTACTTCAGATTACTCCATATTTTGAATGCAATTATTGCACTTTGTGCCCAACACTATATAATTTAAAGTTTTAGTTACTTATTATTTTACAGATTAACTTCAGTTTTATAGCCCAAGCTGCTGAGCAACATTAAAGGAACATACACATGAATAAATCAATAATTAAAATCCAATAATATCATGTATATGATTCTGATTTGTTTTTATTTCACATGACTTTAGGTATTAGGTATTTTAAACATGTTTGAATATGTAACCAGTGAATTATTATGCCATGCAAGTAAAATTATAATTTTATAACTTTTTTTTTCAGCTATCCATCAAAAGATTAGGTTTAAATTCTGATGCAGCTCCACTTTATACATAATAAATCTGGAGGCAAGGCCACATATGAGCTTGAAAACTGTGGTTTATACACAAATTTTCTAAACTTTTGTAAAAAAAAATTTAAAATATTAAATACTAAGCATATTGATCCTCCCTGCTACCTCCAAGCACCATTGTTGGTCTGCCCTGTGCCTCCACACTTAAAAGTTATGGAAATGCTCCCGGTCAAATAGAGTCCACTGTGAGTCTTTCTTCTGTTTAATGTCAAACAGCAAAATTCCAGGGGCATTTTTTTTTATATGTACACAGCATATTCATCACAATTTCCGTAAATTAAATTATATAATTATATTAAATTCAGATAATAATAATAATAATAATAATAGGGGCTGTCTCTCTGTTTGTTTGTTTGTTTGTCCATTAATTCCTCATAGACCATCAGGAGCTGAGTAACCAAATATACAATATACATACAGGTACATCTTGGGCCCCCGAAGGTCAGTATCTATTGCAAGAGAATATAATGACCCGCTTTTAACATATAAACAACATCTTTTTTTTTTTAAAGTTTTCTCAGTCTGATTAAGTACATCAGTTTGTTAACTGCATCAACAGGAAAAGCTACTGTAGCGTCCCAATCTACTAGTTTTTCATGGATCTTAATACATTTTTGAGTGGACACTGAGCACAACGGCAAATACAATAAAGCTTGATCTCTCTGATTAAACAAAAATTGGTATTATGATTGAGTAAATCAAACCCTGGTTAACAAAAAGGAACTAAAAAACACAAACACTTTAGTTTTTCTTTGGGCTAGAATTTAGACGTGTCTAAAACTCTCTTAAAGAGGAAAACATATCCATGTATATATCCACACAACCTAAACACAAAATTCTAGTCAAGTTAAAAGAGTTGTCACTTGTCTTTTAGGTGTATTTTATAAAAGTGTCAACAAATATGTACATGTTACTTATATGGTAATTAGAGTTTTACAACACTTGCTCATTTTATGGTCTTATTGTATCCTGTGCCAGGAGACGCCTCACTGGCATGTAATTCTGTCAACATAATAATAGATCTGTGCGATAACGCATCACGTCACCGATGTTAAGGACAGTTTTGCGCTGACATTTGGCCGCCGTTATGTGAGGAATGCAGAGCCGCTTCTCTCACCACACTGTAATGTTTGACATGAAGCTGGTAAACTGGGTTACGTTTGACCATTCCCCTGCTCTCAATCACTTCTGTTGCCTTTAACTCTCTTGTCTCTGCTTTTGTTCTAAAAAAACCCACTATTTTCATTCTTCCTGACAGAGTCACCTCTGGCTTGTCACTGACAGTTAGTCAATAAGCTACCGCAATCCAACGGGGGGAAAGAAGAAAAGGAGTTAAAGGTGTACCAGAAATAGCATTGCTGTTTTCTCCCTCTGATCTTTTTTAAAACTGCTGAGTCACTTTGAAGTGTCTGAGTTGTGGATGAAGGGATAAGATTTGTGTGTAAGCGTGTGTGAGAGAGATGCCAAGATTTCTATAGTGACATATTTGTGTCACGGTGACACAGAATAAAAATGCAAAACCTTATGAGACGGCAGTGAAACGGGACAAGATAGATGGTAGAAAAGAACCCAGGATGAACCAGATTACTGATGAGAGATGAGGAGGCAGTGTGATGGACAAGTGTGTTGGTCTCTCAGTCGAGGTTGATGGTTAAACAGCAAACGGCTGAGGAAGGCGTGTGAGCTCTTACATCAAAGCTATTTACAGGTGTGAACAGTAAAAACACTGAAACAGAGGAACCAGTTTGACTGACTTACTGGCCCCTGGCTGGTTAGACCACGGAGTGAAGGGAAACTGGTCAAACATCCTGCGAACCAGAAAAACTATTTACTAAACTAATGGGTCAAATGCAGCCAGTCTGGGAGTGAAAGACGAGATGAGTCATCACTCACTATACTCACCTTTAGACCTGACATCCACCTGACATTCAGGCATAAAGAAAGCTTGGATTATACCGTATAAGGTTTCTTTAGTGACCCAACCAAGCCGTAACACAGCTGTTCTGCTACAAATTGCCTTTTTAAAATGCTGTCCAGGATTAAATCCCACCTCTGAAAAGAATAAAAAAAACCTGTGAGACCGTCTTTATATGAAAACACTGATAGAAGTGTGAATGCAATATAATATTTATCTCATGAAGTAAGAAAGGAAGGAATGATAAGCAGGCAAGCATTTCACAGTGGATGTTGTAATGTTGTATTGACTGATGGATCGGTAAAGGGGAGAGAATGAAGCATATCTACTCTGCAGTGAATGATATTCAAGTCTGCAGGTTTTTTTGTACTATACTCTGAAGTTTGACCCAGAAGAAGTAGCTGTCCATTCTTCTGAGACATGCTCTAACGTCTGGTTTGCACTCCAACTTTGAGACCAACGAAGACCAAGGAGTGCTGACTGTCGCTGATTTTCCTCCATAGTCACGTGACCTCAGCCACAATGAACCAGAAGGCAGACGGGCGTTTCACAGTGGATGACTCAGAGCTCTTTGGAAAAGCCAAATCATGCAGGGATAATATCAGGCTTTATACACACCTGGAGAGTCCATGTCAGTTAAAATTACTGCAATTCAGAGCAAAATCAAATGTAGGAAATAATTAATAATCATCCTGTCCTTAAAGGTCTTAAAATACACTTTTGATCGACTGATCGCCAGCAAGTGTGAGCCCCCCTATGAAAGCAGAAGTTCGGGCAGTTTTTCAGGTGCTGCACTGACACATCAGTGATGATCTTAGACATCAATCGGGAAAGGGTTCCAATTTGAAGTCTACAGTGAGAAAGATTATTCACAAGTGGAAATCATTCAAGAGCGTTGCCAGTCTTCTCAGGAGTGCACATCCCAGCATGTTCCCCCCAAGGTCAAACCATGCAATGCTCAGAGAAACTGCAAAAAAGCCTAAGAGTACCGCTCAGACTCTACTGGCCTCAGTTAGCATGTTAAATGTTAAAGTTCATAACAGGACAATTAGAAAAAGACTGAAAAAGTATGACTTGTTTGGAAGAGATGCCAAAAGAAAGCCTCTTTTCTCTAAAATCAACATGGCAGTGCAGCTTAGGTTTGCAAAGTTAGAAATCACAACAAGATTAAAATGAAGCTGCTTGACTGTAATACACAGCATTGTGTATGGAGAAAAGTAAACATAGAATATCAGCACAAACAGCACAAATGAACTGTGTCAAGCACGGTGGTGGAGGGGTGATGATTTGGGACGTTGCAGACCACGAACTCCATGGTGTTGCAATGACCCACTCAAAGTTCAAATGTCAACATGAGGTTACTGAATTGAAGCAATGCTGTAAACAAAAGTGGACTTGCACAGCAAGACACTGATAAAATCATACAGGAAACCATTATTTCAAGTTATTGCTGAAAGTAGTTATACAAGCTACTGAATCGTGGGGCGCATTTGTTTTTTCACACATTATTGCAACATTTTAGATCCGTTTAAAAAAATAAATAGATATTAACTCTTGACTTTATTGTGTCCTGATACTAAAACTGACAGAGGGTGTACTTTATTTTTCTGACTGCATCGATGTTATTGCAGTTAACCAAACTAAAAACTAAAACTAGGCGTGAAAAACACTGTTTAGTTTCTCCATCTGTCCAATCTTTCAATTTTATTTCATTTTAGCTCACTAAAATAATAAAGCTTTTAGAGGTTTGAGAACTGATCATTAGCCAGAGTTGGAGTAAAATTGTGTGTGTGGAATCTGCAGCGCTATCAACAAATCATTGCTAAATTTCTCACGGTATAGCCCCTCCCAAAACCACAAGCAGTGGTTTCAATTTCGGGCCCAGAAATGTTGCGATACCGCCATTCCCTGATTCTTAGCGTCATTGTTCTTTGGGTGGCAATCTGCAGACTTCTAGTTTGAGCACCTGCATCAGGCCTGCTCTGCATTAAAAACAGAAACAGTGAGCTGTAGGCGAGAACACCTCCCTGCTGAAAAGTAAATTTCAGCCTTGACTGCAATCTCTTTGTTCTTACACGGTAATAACATCACATGCATGCTTATAGATGTAACTGGGCTGCCCTGTCACTGTAGTCTACTGACAATGAGGTACTATGTTTCTGGTATTAGATGCAGTTCAAATGAAGTTATTATTTGATAAAAGAGATATAATGATCATAAAAGTCTCGAGGCAACACATTTGATGGGCGGTGGTTGTGAAGACTTGTTCTTTGTTTTGTAAAGGGTTGCGTAAATCTAAATGTTTGAATTATCGTATGCGGGAATTAATTTGCAACTCTTATTCAACATGTTCTGTGCACAGAGGGCAGAGGTCAGAAACATAGTGTACAAGGCAGGAGACGCTGAAGTTTGTGGTTGAAAACACAGACACCAGGAGAAAAAACCCAAACAAACCAAAA